TGCCTGTTTCTGTACTGAGAGATAATTAAATTATATGTTTGTGTGCTGAGGCAATTTTCTCTCAGGCACAGAGGAGGAGTTTGTAACTTGTAACTAGTGCCCTCTCAGGTCCAGGAACTGAATTATCCTGTTTGTGTGGGAGTGTCAGGGGTGTGTTTACTGTGTCCCTATATTGTATAAAAGCAGGTTATTGAGCCTGGATTAAACACATTTGTTTAACCCCTTCATTAAGTCTAGGCTCATGTTTGGGGGATTGGATAGCTCTAATCACTACATTCTAGGAAGGCTTGGGGAAGAGCTTCCATAAGATGTTGTAACATTACTGCGAATTTTAGCTAACATTCATTCACAAGAACAGTTTTATGATCAGCCTTTTGGCTTTGTTTATACAGAAATGGCAGCAATTGGTTACTAATTTACAACCTTTTGAACACATACTTGATTTAATTATTTCTGCATCTAGAACTGAATTTAGTAAATCCACATGCTCTGGGCTACTTCTCCTTGGGTTCTAGAATGATATTATCTCTCAGGAGCTTGACCAACTTATAAGCTTATTAAAGACCCTGCAGGCTTTATTTTACCAACACCCACAAAGGAACTCGATTTGTAACAGGAGGAAGGGCAATGGAGTACATATGTACCTATGCTCATGATGGACTTGAACCGTTCCCTCATGGTCTCTTCAATGTTTGGATTATGGGGGCCACATAAAGAGATAGTGTACATTCTATTTCATAAATGAAACAAATTCTTCCATGATACATTGAACCACATATTCCAATATAAATATGAATCTATTGACAATAATGCACAATTCGTGTAGCTACAATGCAGCTAGTAAAGCCTATGCACATTCCAAGATGTTTAGTAGGTAAATGAGGATTTCAATTATTTAGACCTTAGATAAAGGCTAATATCCTGCTACACAGTTAATTAAAGACATTAATGTTTTTTTCAAATTTCATGTTAAAGCAATTAAATAAACTGACCATTACATGTTTCTTGAGATGTTGCTGTTCTGTTTCTTATTTATTTGGTAATTTAACATTAAGAAAATAAGGCGGTATGGGTTAAAGAGACTCAATATGAAGGAATTGGCCTCTATTTTTAGCACACTATTCACATAACTAACAGCTGTGGTAAAAATAGAAAGAAATACTTACCTTCAATGTACCTTGCACAGGCATGCGCTGCAGCAGGCAAACCTCTCAGATCAGGAAGAGAGCTTAGTCTTATCCCATAAACCTCTCTACAGGAACAAGTTTATGAGATGTTTATGTTAGCCCAAAGCTGGTGTTGCACTCATCATATAGGATGAGTGGATGTCTGGTAGACAGCCACAGAAGGCAGACTTAGAGCTGCAATGTAAACATTGCAGTTTCTCTGGAACTGCAAAGTTTTACATTGCAGCACTAAGTGCAAAAGAGCCACAGCAACCAGACCACTTCAATTAGCTGAAGTGGTCTGGGTGCCAACAGTGTCCCTTTAACAAGAATACAACTCTCAAACTGTAAATTAGTGATTAAAAGTTGGTGGAAAATTCGGTTGTGAAGAAATATGGTCAAAGTTCAGTTCAAATTTCTGAGATTCAAAAGGATATTAAATTGGTCAAAATTCTATAAAAGTTATATTTTGACCATTTTGAATCTGCAAGGATAGCGAGTACCAAGCCATCAAATATTTTACTGATAGGCTACCCCTTAGAGACATTTGATAAAGTGAAGCCACAAATCTTTGACCCACATGGATGAAAGTATTCTGCATAAAGAATTTTCCTTAACGGATCACTATAGTGTCACAAACACAAACATGTATTCCTGACCCTATAGTGTAAAAAACCACCATCTAGCCTCCCAGGGCCCCTCATGACTCCATAAATATAGCAAAATCTTACTGTATTCAAGCCAGAAGCTCTAACTCTGCATGCTGTTTGTCTAAAATAAACAAGCAGTCTGCTGACATCATCAGAAGTGGCAGCCTGATCCAATCACAGTGCTTCCCCATAGGATTGGCTGAGACTGATAAAGAGGCAGATCGGGGGTAGAGCAAGCATGATTCAAACACAGCCCTGGCCAATCTGCATCTCCTCAGAGAGATGAATTGAATCAATGAATCTCTATGAGGAAAGTTCAGTGTCTGCATGCAGAGGGTGGAGACACTGAATGTTTGGATGCATTTTAGGCAACCATGACCCAGGAAGGATCTCTAACAGCCATCTAAGGAGTGTCCGGTAAAGTTATCACTAGGCTGTAATGTAAACAATGCATTTTCTCTGAAAAGACAGTGTTTACAGCAAAAAGCCTGAAGGTAATGATTCTACACACCAGAACAAATTCAATCAGCTGTAGTTGGTCTGGTGACTATAGTGTCCCTTTAAAGAATGCTGCATAAGACGTTTCCTTATAAATACATTTCCTTAAAGGTAGGAAGCTGTAAAGTATATGTTAGGGGAGAAATATAGTGGGAAGTGTAAAATGAGGGGAAGGAGTAAGAAATGCATTGCCAAGAATGAGAGATGTGAAATATGTAACTAAGGAAATTACATTGAGCAGCACAGGAGGGGAATATTGAAGTATGAAAAGGGTGAATAAGGAGGGGCATGTTAAATGGATTGCTGGGGCATGCAACTGGGGATGGGGAGGCAGAATAATTGTGAGATGGGAAGCGAGGACATGATAGTGGAAGAAATCGTGTAAGGTGGCTGCATAGACATAGGGCATAGCACAGATTTATGGGAAGGAGGTACATAATATGTAAAATTAAAATGATGCTAAAGTGGCACGAGATAGGTAATCTGGGCAAAAATTGAGATATGAACATTTGGATACTCTGTTTTGCAGAGGACGAGATATGGATGACATATGGACAGATGGCCATCTGTAGACATGAAATGGATGAAGAGGAAAAAGGGAGCAAGAACATGGATGGCTTAGGAGAAGAGGGGCGAGATGGGTGGAATGAGATTGATGTCCTCGAATGGGAGAAGAGATGGAAAGCAGGATGGAATCAGATAGTTGCAATAGAGCATGATATTATTGCTGATGAGTAGCTACATAGGATGCATGGGAGAGAGTGCCATGTAGTCCTTATTTAGAGGTGCACCCTGAGGATGAAGCCCCTGGTCCTCTGCTACTAAATAATATGCCTGCTTGCAAGTGTCCAAAATGACTTTCAGACATAATGGGGCTTCACCTACCTTCACCTTTCATAAGGGATGATGATATCTTCTCAAGACTTTACAGACAAATACATTCCTTGGAATGAACTTGGAACTGTATTCACCACTATGCATGAATTCTACTGTTGAATATACTCCTGGTGTCTGTAGGAGTGTAGTCTGAATAAAAAAGATCTCAGTTTAGAATTTAATATAATACATATTGAACTATCCAGTGGTAGAATATATTGTAAATTATTTGTTCTATTCATTGTGAAATTATTTTGTCAATCTTTATTTTTCAGTGCATGTGATAGTACATAGGTTTGCAATACCATAACAACATGTACATGCAATTCAAATGCACACACAAGTATACAAAGACATGGTATGTGATCCTACTGCACATATATTATTATTATTTTTTATATCAATTCGTAACATCATGCTAAGTAATCATGACCAGGATGACAATCTACAACAGAATTCTTATCACAATATTGGTGCCTAATTTTTAAGTAAAGTAAGTGAATAAAGCTTAGTGGGTCAGGATAGTTACGCACTGTTAAACAATCTATAGTGAGACTTATTAATCAGTGAGATAACTCAGTGGGATAATGCATCATCGGTAGAATCTGTTCAACCCTTGGGTCACAGGTTCTAATCCCAACAGAGTTGACTCAGCCTTCATCCTTCCAAAGTAGCTAAAATAACTACCATTAAATTGGGTAATAGTAACAACCCCTGGATGTTGGGCTGAGGTAACATCCCCAGCACGTACTTGAAAATCAGGGTAATCTTGCCTTTCCTGCTTAAATACTTTGTTATTAGTACCCCTCTGGTCATGAGAGATCTAAATATATATGTAGTAAAACATGTGAACCAGTAGAATAGCGTAGCTTTAATTCTGCTGGGTACCATTCATAAGGGAGAACAAGATTCCCTGCACCAGAAACAGGATGGTGATTTAAGGCTCTCTGTCCCTGCTTGATTTGAAAGGTTATCGAATGCCACATGTAGGCCGAGTCAGAAGGGTATAGGTGACGTGAGAGAGTCCAGGCCTACTCCAGATTCTCTTCCACCTCTTATTAGGTTGTATTCTGCTGCCCATAGTAGATTAAGGGACAATGCCTCGGCTCCATGCAACTTTGGCCTCAGGCCTTAGTAGGAGCCCTTGCCCTGTATCCATGGGACCCTCCATGCCAAGTGGTTCTCCAAAATTCGGTCGTTCCCGAGTGTGTATGGATGGTGGAGTGGAGATGCCTCCAGATGGGCCCCTAGCCCAGGAGTGGAGCGAGCAGCTGGAGGAGCAGTGCAGGTGTTCCCTACGGCATGTTGTGGGAGCAGTTGAGATCTGTTGCCAATACTTTCCAGAACTCCTGGCATATTGCACCAAATCTGGCATTAATGAGTCTATCCACTATTGGACCCTCCTGGCATTGCTGACGCTGTATCTTGATGACGCCACGCGTCTTGTGGAGTCACCACTTGGGATCACCAGGCCCCGAATTTGCCTTTTCTAAGGGTGTTTTCCCAGTGGGTACCGGGAAATCCCCCACCAGTCCAGAGAGGGGGGTTGCAGGGCTGCACTACAGTCTCAGTGAGCCACACAGCTCTACTCGGGAGATAGGCCGCCTTCTTCTATTTCCCTGATTCTCCTATATTCACCTCTGGTTTCTACAACACCTGTCCTTAGAGCAACTCTCCCTCTTTATATCATATTGTTTCATTTTGTCCACTTGTCTAATCGCAAGTACAGGTAAGGCACGTATTGCAGTCAACAAAGCAAAAATAAATTAAAAAAAAATCAGAAAAATAATATATATTCTTCTGCGTGCAGCAAATAACTACATCAATTAGTATAATGAGCCAACCTCACCCTCATTATATTTCCATAAGGACATCTGCTCTTAACCTCAGCTGGCACCTTAGCTGGCATAGTAAGAAATCCTAAAAGATGCATTTTCTCTTCTCACAATAAATATACAAACAGGATTATTGTTTGATAACGTCCCTGAGACACACACAGATGTTTGTGGCACATCAGGCCATTTCAAGTTGGTTCATTGAATGAATTGTACCTTTTGTCTGTTTTTCGGCAAAATGCTGAGCTGCCGAGATGTAAAAATCACAATAGGCATACAACCTGAGACATAACTCTAGCATTGTGTGGCATTGTGTTTAATTATTGATCAAGTCCATACAGTTAAAAGAAGGATTTACACTGTGCCATAATAAAACATAAAACAAAAATCTATTTGACTGCTATGTACATTACTCTCAGAAAGTGCAAGGCAAGTCAAATTAAAGAGAAATTGAGATAACCATCTAATGCTGACATAATATAACTCTGTTATAAGTCACTGAATATGCCGTTCTGATTTATTTGATGTGAATCTTTTGTAGGAATAAAAATTTAAATTGGATTTCAAGGCATGTATTGTGCAATTTAATATTATTGGAGCCCTTCATATTTTTAAGAGTGCTTCAGTCTGAAAGAGCGAGTCTTTCCCCCACAAATGTAAAAATGAGTAAATTGCTCTGTACGACCAGAATCCCTGATCGCTTTAGAACTGAAATGCTTACAAAAATGTGTCTGTCTCGTAATAATTTTTACACTTCTCCGTTTTTCTGTTCCAACAGTCAACACCATCTCCTACCTTACTAACAATGTGGGAGTAATGCGCAATGTTAATTGCTTACTTAGGTCGAGAATAAAAGGCATAGTAATTAATTTTAGCTAAAAATAAATATTTCGATGTAAATGATACAATACCGAAAAATAGTAAAACAAATTATTATATTTTTGAGCAGTGCACAACGTAAAATAAAACAGATAAAACAATACAGAATAAGGAATCAAGAAAGTAAAAGCTACATATAAAATATATGATGGAGAAGTAGATTTTTTATTTTTTTTCCTGTGTCTCTTCCCAACGAGCCAAGCTCTCCTTCGCAGGATTCATTTTATATTACAAACCTTGGTACATACAAGGTTGTATACTAAAGTGAGAAATTGAATTCAAGGTGAGTTTCAAATTTAAAGCCACGGTAGACGAACTGAAAAAAATTCTCCAAATTAGCTTTGCTTCCAGATTAGCTGCTTTGGCCTTAAATGTAAAATTCACCTTGAATTCCATTCACGTGGGACATTGAAGGAGAAAACACGCTATATGATAAAGTTTGCGCCAAACAGTATGTGGAAAAAGTGCAACATTAGTTTTAAAAATGATTAACACATTTTTATATTTGTATGGTGTCATGTTTTAAGAGATGTTTTACTTTTTTATAATATATTTACTTAATGTATTTTTTTTTTTACTAAGCATCTGTTATAGAAAACACAAGCAGTATAAAATTCATAATATTTGGCAGAAAAAAAAAATACCTGACTGTTGTATGATTCTTTGTAAGATGATTTAGATGCAAATGTGGATGCGCATGCTATCAGGAGATATTTATATACTTAATTTTCGAATGTCACATCTTGATGTACATTGTCCAATCATTGTCTTTATAATTGTATTCAGATTCAATTTGACATATATTGTATCCATGAGCTAGGGAGGCATATACAGCTTTACTTTTGATTGCTGACAAGACAATATCAAGATTATTCAGCAATACAATAGAAGCAGACAAAGGGATAAAAGATTGCTCTTACAATCACGGCAGCCAAATTCATGGCTCAGGGAAGATGCAAAGGTGACTTGATGTAATCGTATTTTAAGTTGGCTTTGATGCTTCTGTAATGGCTCTTACTGGGGATTTTTTAATGTTATACATGCGACAGGGCCCTTGATGAACAAATTTCTATTTTAATCTGTGGGATATGATTGTAAATGCTGTTTGGAGCATGTTAAAGTATGGAGTGTTATTACTATTTGTTAATTTGTTGGAATGTGTTATCAATTTTGCTAAGTGTACAATTTCCCTGTGAAAAATGTTCTATTTTTAAGATATACAATTTTAAAACTAATGCTATATTGTTTTATTTATATACATTTTATTTTCAGATTCAAACAGTTATTTAGGAAATGCTATCTATCTAAAGTACTACTAATAACACAAATCATATTTAGCATTCATAAAATATTTTTGAGTATAAATATTTTACAGGTTTGTTTATTTACACTCAAGTGCCACACAAGAGGGCTGAACTCACCTGAAAATGCATACATTGTAGGATGCTGCTGGGGCCAATATATACAGCATACAAAATACACAATCCAGCGCACTCGCTTATTCACTAAACAATGATTTTTAAATCATACAGATTGTAATAGTTTTCTTTAAAAACACCTCACCTAGGCAAAAAATAATGGGGGTTTAGTTACATTGCATGATCATATATTGCATAAGCCTGCAGCACAACCTATAATGTATGCATGTTCAGGTGAGTGCAGCCCTCTTGGTTTCATTTAATATTTTGGAGTCCAGGCCAACTCCTTGGTTTTGCACCCCTCCATGTTGCAGGTGCCTCATTCCAGGACCCTATTTAGCCTTGACTTGCAGAGAGTTCCAGTAAGGAAGTATTTCCCAAGTAAGTGGATTAATCTCATAATGGCGGACATTAGGTTGTTAGAGTAGGACCTGCCAAGAATGGGGTACATTGATGTTGTCGCAGGCTTATGCAATGGATGATCATATAATGTAACTAAACCCCCATTATTTTTTGCCTAGGTGAGGTGTTTTTAAATATTACAATCTGTAAGATTTAAAAATCATGCGAGTGCGCTGGATTATGTATTTTGTATGTTGTATATTTTGGACCCAGCAGCATCCTATAATGTATGCATGTTCAGGTGAGTGCAGCCCTCTTGGTTTCATATATATATATATATATATATACAATTATTTTTTAATATTTTTTTTGTTATTTATGTTTTATATTTTACAGTGAATGATTTGCACACATGCATTTTAATGTAGCTCAATACACAGAGCTATATCACAGATTACAGCAATGCCCCATACATTCTAGGTTTGCTAGAGTTATATAAAAAAACTGGGGATTTACTAATGCACTTGTTCCAGTTTCCAAAGAGACATTTGGACAGGTTGTATTACTGAGCCATTGTTTTAATTAGATCACCTTAGCATCCCACTGATCTCTTTAGGCATCTCACCAATACTAATCTCCCCTGCAAAGGTATATATATGGAAATACATACAATTCTGGAGGAGGTACAAGTCTTTATTTAGGACACAACACACATTTCATTTATCCATGCTGCCTTTGGGCAAGTCAGTCAGCTGAATGACTTCCAATAAAAAGTAGACACCCATGGCTAGATTCTGTAACCTGAGAGAAGTTTAACTCCAGTTTTTGAATAAATATTTTTCATTTGAAGTCTATGGGAAAACTGTTATTCAGTAAGCAGTGGCAAATGTATCTCTATATTATTTTCACTGGAGATCTATCAACACTTTTCATAAGTCATTTTGCCATCTGTCTTTCCTGAAATTTTAGAAAATGTATTGGGATTTTTTGGAAAGTGACTTCCATTGTGTTCAATTTTTGTTGAAGAACATAAGTATTAAAATCATATTGCAAATACAAAGATAACAGAGTAATCAATGGTAAAATGAATGAGTCAGCAGGATAAAAACAAAAACCGTAAAGACTGCAGTAAATACTCTAGGGATAAACAAATAAAAACAAAACAACATTCGATGCTAGACAGTAAAACTGCCATAGCAAAACTATGATCAAGAGGTTAAAGATCACCCAGAAAATAATACATCTATTTAACCCCTTAAGGACACATGACATGTGTGACATGTCATGATTCCCTTTTATTCCAGAAGTTTGCTCCTTAAGGGGTTAAGTAAAACAGTGTGACTCAAAAAAATAAGAGTGCAGCTAGAGGTATGGTGCTAGATAGTAAAACAGACTGCAAAAAGATAGAAATAAAAGAAAAAGGGAACAAACTGATTGCAAACAATTATTGTAGTGGAAAGCAGGCTTGGGGGAGGGATATGACCAACAAAAAGAAAAGATAGAAACATCTTCTTGTATCTAGTTGTCATCCACCGCCAAATGGTAAGGGCCAGCTCAAATTCTTTAAGCTGTGCCCCCCTTGAGTCAGAAAAACTGGAAAAGTCCATGAGTTGTTGAAAGAGCACGGTATGAGTTACCATAGAATTAATTTTTTTTCTAATCTTGTAATCCAGTAATTTATAGTAAGTGCTATAAACTTCTTCATTGGTGTGTATAGGGCTTCTCACTACTTTGGCAAGGTAAGGTAATGTGGGAAATAGGTGAACTACTACAGCTGATAGTAGGGCGTTGTTTTCCCTTAGTGAAAAACTGTTAATCATGGCACAGACAGGATGTGTGGGGAAGCTTTGTTCTTCTCAGATGATTGGAAAGGGTGATTGTGGTAAACATTGCCCATGTCCACTCACTTTTTTTTAGAAAGAGACATCACCATCTTTCGATGGGGAAAAAGCAGTGCCTTAACAGCTTCCCACAACTGCATGTTGAGGAAACAGGCCCTGCAGTCAGGCAGGGCAAGAGCATAATGAAAGGCATTTAAAAAAGAGAGAGCAGCAGCAGCAAGAGTAATTTAATTGTATTTATTATTTTATTTATTTATTTATTTTTAGGTGGGTAAACAAAGGAATGACCCCCAACACTCATTTTAGAATAATATCTTTCTACAAAGTTAAATAAAAAAGGCCTGCCACACTCAGTGTACACAGTGTTCACTTGAGTAGTAAACTGCAGCCACACAGTGAGGGAAGAAGCTTGCAATTTCCAAAGCACAAGCAATGGCACAGAAGCACCTTGCAAAATAGATAATCAAACTCTTACTAGAAAAATCACAAATCAGTATATTAATTCTAAATCGGTGAATCAAAGTAGGTGTAAGTGGCAGTAGCTGATGGGCATGAGGAATTTCTCTTTTCTTTTTTTTTAAATTCACCTTGTCTAATCTACCTCCAGATTGTGGACTACTGGCAGAAGGGAAGTAAGTTCCACAGGAATGGTGCAGCCCTCGAGAAGTCTGGAAGGTGAGCATCAGAGGTGGGAGTACAGACAGAAGATAGACGTAAGTCTTCAGCACAGCGTAAGGGCCTAGATGGGACATACTTGTGTACTAGGGAGGAAAGATAGGTGGGAGCAGCATTATGTAGAGATTTGAAAGCAAGAACCAGAAATTTAAA